AACCACACTGGGGATACAAGAATGTCACTATCGAGGTCATACTGGGAGGAAAAAAACACACACACACACCTACTAAATATTACCTGGCTCTAAAAACTGAATGTTAAGTGTAACAAGAATCCCCCCTTTTTGAGAGGTACATTACCTTGGTAGCTCTCCTTCGTCCTGGCATTGACACCACAAGGACACTGAATATGCCAGAGTTCTCTATGATGCTTTCTGACTACAAAGATAAGCACCCTTGCTAATTTTGTTGTCCCCTGATAAATGGTTATGGAGCATAAAAAGGAGAATACCTCAAATTACTACACAGAAAAATCACCTGCTATAACACTCAAATATAAAAAAAAAAAATCCGAGTGATTCTTGGCAACACCAGATTGTCAAGAAAGATTCTTAATTGCTGAAGCATCCACTAACTAACAAGGCTGCCACTATGTGAAAGCCATTCTGGCAAGAGGGTCAGATGAGGTAGATGCCCCACTTTCAGCCAAGCCCACCTTTGTAAACTTGGCTAAGAAAAGAAAAGGGAGCTGCCAAGAAGCTGCTCAGAAAGGGCTATAAATTACAATCAATGCTCTATTTCTGAGTTAAGCCCCCATGGTAGCTCCAGTTTGCCTTCTCCCCACAGTTCCCTATGAAAGTAGAGAAAATATTGGCCAACTTGTCCGAGGAAGCAGCAGTCCAGAAAGATGGACCCAGATAAAAAAGACAGAAGATTTCATGCTAAAGTAAGTCGTCCAAGGGTCTAACAATTGCAACAAGGATGAGGATGGTCTGCAGGTTATCTGGTGGCGAGTATGATTATGTGATTACACCTCCAAAAACCTTGAGTCTTTTATTGAGTGGATGCATCCAAAAAGAAAATGGATATGGAAACCCATCCATCTGATAAAATAGTACTTTATATAACTATGTGGATGATCATACAAATATCGATGTGAAGTTCAAATGTAAAGTAGAATTTGGTACTATTCATTTTAATATCCAGAAAAAAACAGCACTGAATGTAATGAAACACCATTTTCTGGGTGAGTCCCGGAGGCTCCCCGGAGCTTACCAGGCTGATGTGTATGTATTAGACCGAGGCATTAGTCAATTTGAGTTTCTGCATACTGGGGACCACGAGGCAGAACCTGGCCCCCCGAGATAGGCACGAGGAGCAATGGCCTATGGAAACCCCCATGTGTTTGGAAACATTCTATGCCTGCCATTGACCGGGATGTGGCACCCACAAAGGTTTCCTCGAGGTGTTTTCGGAGCTTAACGACCCCGCAGCTCAGTCGTCGACCAGGCCTCCTAGTTGCTGGACTGGTCAACCAGGCTGGTGGACGCAGCTGCTCGCAGCCTGACGTATGAGTCACAGCCTAGGTGATCAGGTATTCTTTGGAGGTGTTTATCAAGTTCTCTCTTGAACACTGTCAGGGGTCGGCCAGATATGCCCCTTATATGAGTTTGCCTTGACCCATGAAAAAACTAGCATTGAATGTAATGAAACACTAATTTCTGGGTGATTTCCGGTGGCTCCCTGAAGCTACAGTGCTAAACTACTAGGTGCCATCAGTTGCGTAGTTCTTTTAGTCCTAATGGGGACCATGAGCCAGAACCTGGTCCCTCTCTAATGAGGCACAAAACAACTATTGTAAAATTGTCAGTGATATTTTAATTATGTCCACCACCACCCAGGAAGTACCCACAAGTCTGCAAAGCAAAATGGATCACTGTTGGTTATAAAAATATTAAGACCTCAAGATCACCAAAAGGACTTACCCAAAAATGTAAACTATAAAAAATTTATAAAACTAGCGCCAGCTCATTCACCCCTCCTCCCCACCCTTGTTTGGGGGATGGGGGGGGGGGGATGGAGGGAGGCAGACCGGGTCAGCTGGTTGCTCCAACCTCAGTTCTATAATGAAGGATGATGGTAAAAGTCATCCCCTTCTTCCTGGGAGAGGGAGGAAGCCAGGGAACCACCGGGGCTCACCCAGAAATTGGCTTTTCATTGCAGTCTATGCTAATTTTCTGGGAGTAGCCCCTCGTAGCTTCCTGAAGCTACCTATCTATAGAAAAAATTAACAGAAATAACCAGGGAGGAGAGAGCACCCCAGGTATCACAATAAAAAAGAAAACAAAAGCTGTGACACATGACCTAAGGCCACACACGGCCAAGGAACATTGACCAAATAACTGGCTGCCAGGACTCCTATTCACCCACCCCAAATATCAGCTCAAGACACATTGGCAAATACAGCTGAGTGACAAGTTTCTGAATGTAATGGGTATGAGGGGTTGACTACAGGCTAGCTAGACTTAATAACACTGCAGATATCTGAAAAACATGAGCCCGGGAAGAGGGGATCAGGTAAACTGGAGCAATCCACAATGAGTCATCCAAAGCAGAACCAGATGCAGAAAGGTAGTGGAGCTGAGCCGCCACCACCGGACACAGCACATGATGCACCCCTAGTTGAACCATCCAAGCATCCACCAAAGGACCCCCCTGTGAAAGCCAACCGACTCATTCCTTGCAAAAAAAAAAAAAAAAAAAAAAAAGAGCCAACTTGTGACAAACAAAATAACCTTCAGGGCAGGACCAAAAAACCCTGGCACTGAAAGAGCATGAAGCTCACCCCACCCAACATCCAGAGGTGAAAGAGCAAAAACAGAGCCTTATAAAAGCAATCACGGACCGAAAAGGACACTAAAATGAGCAGAAGAAAGAATGCAGTCCAAAGACCAAGCAGACTTGGGCAACACATGAGCAGGCCCACATGTGAAACAATGCACCAAAGAAAGCTCACATTAAGAGGCCAAGGAAGTATCAACCCCAAACACAAACTGGAGTGGCTCCGACAGGAATGCACGATATGAAGTGACAGTATCTAGTATAAGAAGCCAATCCAGAAAAACTAGAAAGAAAAGATGGGACAACCGAAATAAACACCGAAGATGAATGACAAGAGGAGAGGATATGGCGAAAAGCATGCCAGGACACTTCATACTGTCACTGAGAGGAAGACTGCAGGTGGAACACTAACAAAACTGCTACCTGACCACCATAGATATGGCAATAAACACACATCAAAAACTCCAGACGCAAAGATTGGAGAAGCTGGAATCGGCAAGGTACGACAGCAGACCAATATGTCAAAAGCTCACATTGTCGACGGTCCACTTCACAGAGATGGGATGGAACCGAGAAAGATTGTCAGCCAGGATGCTGATACCCCCTGGAAGTGAACAGGAATGGAGAGCCAAACCCCATGAAACCAGAAGATGAACTTCATGTAGAGTCCAGCTCCAAAGAGACAGAGACTGAAGAGAACCTCCCCTTGGGTGAGACAGTGAACCACGAGGAGACAATCTGAATGGAGCCAGACTATGGAGCCAGGAAGGATCTGAACCCTCTGCAGCTCATGCCACACGACTACAATCCCCCGCGTAGTACTGTGAGCCCGGCGAAGGCGAGGGGACCAGGGCCCCTGACCAGCCTGATGAATGTTGGCCAGAGAGCCCCAATTGAAAACGGAGATAACCAAGAGCTTCTGGAGGCCGGCAAAGAGCTTCTGGAGTTCGCACCCAGTGATTGTGGCAGTGGTGGAAGAGCCGGCTCAGGAATAACCAAAACAGCCTCTGAAGTCAAATAACATCCAAGGGAGCACTAGGAAGGCAAAGTTGAGGCTTCTGCACAGCTGCTCGAGCAATCGCTGACACACTCAGCACCCACTCATCACCAACAGAAGGAACCTGGGGCTGCAGCCAGGGAAGGCCAGCAAAGCTGACTGAGAGTCCTAAACAAGGTTCAGCTAAGTCCAAACCTGAGCTGAAACCAATGGGACTTCTACCAGTCCATCAAGAACCCAAGAAGAGTGCGGTGGAACAGTCCCTCTCCACCCTTTTAGGGAGGGGATTAGGGAGTCACTGGGGGTTCACCCAGAAATTGGCATTTCATTACCTTCAATGCTGGTTTTCTGGGAAGAGCCCCTTGAGAGGTTATCTTGAGATGATTTCGGGGCTTAGCGTCTCAGTGGCCCGGTCCTCGACCAGGCCCCCTTTTCGTTACACTCTCCGAGAAGCAAGAGGCATGATCTTCCCACTCTAGATCCATGTTGATCTTGGTTGTGAAGGTCATTGCTCTCTATGTAACTGGAGAGCAATGATCCGATTCCTGATTCCTCTTTCAAAAACTTTTATTGTATGTGATATTAGTGCAACTGTCTGTAGGTTTTAGCCAGTGTTTTGCTGGCTACAAACTTGTGTAGGGGGAGCTATATCTGCTGATTTAAGTGCTGCTGGTATCTCCCTTGTATTCAAGCTTTTTCTCCACACTACACTGAGGACTCACGCTTTACATTTATTTATAAATATGTCACACCATTCCCCCTCACACCAATCATGCCCCCCACCATTATACACCCCCCAACCACTAACACACCCCTACAAACTTGCCTGAAGTTATCTTGAAGTGGGACTGCAGATTGATGACCCAAGCCCCCTGATTGGCTACTTGGCCAATCAGGCAGTTTCATGACATTGCACATAGTCTGATGTGCAAGTCACAGCTTGGGTGATTAGGTACCCGTTGGAAGTGTGTATTAAGTTCCCCTTTCATTACTGAATTAAAATTAATGCAGTGAATCATCACTGCATTAGATGCAGTGATGATTCATTGATCTTTTCAATTTCTTTCAAAATCTAATGCAAAACATCCTATGGCATAATTTGTAACCAAGACTGCTGGGATTATTCTCTGGCATCACTGCACATTTGTAGAAATTATTTTTTAAATGATTCTGCAATCTGCCATTAGTTGGTTACATGGGCCAATAACAAAGGATATTATCCTTGCACCACCATACATAAAATCATGCAAGTCTCTAGGTAAGCAAAAGCAATTTAAAATTATTACATGGACAATGCAAATATTATGGGGGAAAATTAGTCCAAAATAAAAGGCATCCAAATGGGAGGTACTGCATCAAACAACATGTACCACTCACCTAATTTAGCTAATTCTCCGGCTTCTAGTACATCCTTGTAAAATTTGTCATTATAACTCACTGGAAAAACCACCTGATTTAGTAGCTTCAGCTGTTTGATATTATGGGGTGTCACATCCCCTAACTCGATTCGACCTCTGTAAAGAAAGAGTGTACAGGGTTATAACAAATTTGCGATATGTTTTTATCGCATTTGAATAAAGGGAGGTTCTATGCCCAGTGCCTATAGTAGGAATATTTTGATAGGAAAAAATATTTTGAATTTCCTTAAAAAAAAAAAAAAAAAAAAAAGCTTCTCTCTGTACATAGCCTTTAGCATGATTCCCAACCATTGTGCCAAACATCTGCAAAAAGATGTTACAAAAGCACACACAATTAAATAGCAGCATTAGAAAAAATTGTAGGAAACCAATGAGGAAAATAATACTGTATTTGTTATGACAAGGAGCTACACTAAGTAGTTTATCATGTTACATTTATTCACAATTAAGTTTAAAAATACTACTTCTGTTCAGCCAACATTGCTAGTTATAAAATAAATACAGTACAGTGGTACCTCCACTTATGAATTTAATCAGTTCCCAGAGACGGGTCATAACTCAAAAATTCGTAACTCGAAACATATTGTCCAATACGAAATAATGTAAATTGAATTAATCCGTTCCACACACCCCAAAAATATTAGCTTAAAAATACATTTTATGCCAAATACCACTCTCTCTGTACTAGCTACAATACAGTTTGTATATCTTACTTTCATTGAGGACTCTTGTTGACATATGGAAGATGATGAGGAGGGAAAGGGGAGGAGGAGAGGTGTTACTATTTGTAAGGGGAATTCCCTTCCATTATAACATTGGGCAGTGGTGACTTCTCTGGGGTACTCTCTCTTACATTTTACGGGCATACCACTAGAACCTGATTGTGGGTCACTGCTTGCTTATTTTACTAAGAATCTGTCTAAAGACACTTTGTTTTTCCCTACATTTTAACACTTGTCTGGAGTGAGACATTACATTGTCATTTAGAAGGTCAATACAACAGCCGGGGGCAAAATATAAATTTAAATTTAAAATGCAACGGCCTGCTACAGCTTTATCTGGGCGATTTTTGTCAACAAAACTTTGCAATTCTTCCCATACTTCACACAATTTCCTAATGAGGAAGGGTCATTCTCTACTACCTCTACTCAACTATTTTCTTAGGTTGAACCTTACCATTGACTTTCTTGGGACCCCCATGGTGAGATATATAATAATTACTTTTATGTTCAAAAAATAAAAAAAAGCACAAAAACAATAAAATTCTTTACTAGCGTGATCATCTACTAAGTGGGCGCTCAGTCGACCCATACGTGTATCAACAAAGTTGCTAGTCGAGTTACATTTTGTGACGAAATTGGGGTCATAACTCTAAAAATTCGTAAGTAGGGGCAGTCGTAAGTTGAGGTGACACTATATGGTAGTGTGCAGAGCTTTAATCAAGCACTTGGAAGGGATCGGGATAAGGATTTGGGATGGGACGGGACAGGGTGAAGAAATGGTGCCCAATCACTTTGACGGTCGGGGATTGAACGCCGACTTGCATGAAGCGAGACCGTTACTCAACCTTCTATCCCAAGTGGTTGGACACATCCTGGATGCGACAAAAATAGTTAGGCATGTTTTTTCACCTAATTCTACTGTTCACCTGAAATTAGTCAACTGCTTGGGGCGGAGGGTCAATAGTTCAACTCTGAGGCGACCTCAATATAAACCTAACATACATAGGCTGACTGTACCCAACAAAAATTAAATCAGTACCCATAATGGATACCAATTACCATACAAAGGCATTTTGGAGAAAAAAAAATAATTTTATAATTGATAAACTGTACAGTACAGTACTGTATATAGGTTAGGATGGATAAAGTAGGAAAAAATATGCAACATTGAATTCAAGACGGTTCACCAACATATTTTAAAACCTATCTAACCTAAGCCAACCGAAGCTCAGCTAACAGCCTAAATTATAGTGTCAAGGTTTTACAAATAGAAAAGAAGCTTTATTGAAATGCCTGAGCAAGGTTTTTACCCGAGTTTACCTGTCTTATGGTAAAATTAAAGGTCTGACCACACCCCAGACAAGGTCAAGTTTTAATTTGTTGGCAAACCATCTTAAGTATATTACTATATTAATATTTGCTATATTTACACTTGGGTACAAAGTGACATGTATACCCACACTGCACCTTTCTAAGGTCCTACCTGTGTCCTTATCTAGTATACAGGCCACAGCCAATTGCAAACAAAATTGACCAAATTAAATTTAATTTAACCTTTAAATCAAGAGATAAATAAGTTTACATTTTTCTTAAGCATGCACAGGGATGTTGAGGTTATCTCGAGATGATTTCAGGGCTTAGCGTCCCCGCAGCCCGGTCCTCGACCAGGCCTCCTGTTTGTTACACACCCCCAGGAAGCAGCCCATAGCAGCTGTCTAACTCCCAGGTATCTATTTACTGCTAGGTGAACAGGAGCATCAGGGGTGACAAACTCTGATCATTTGTTTCTGCTTCCGCTTTGGATCAAACCCGGAACCATAGGACTACGAATCCCAAGCGCTGTCCACTCAGCCGTCAGGCCCCCTTACCTCTTGGGATTACCAGGGATTACAGAAAACTGAATGTTCTACTATTTATTCTAACATTTGCCTATTGTAAACATTTCATGCTTCAATACACTAATTGCCTATGTTTGAAGGGTTCCTAGAATTTGCGTTTTTTGTATTCGCTACTAAACACATTTTTTTTCAGCTCTGGGAGCCGGACACTAGTAACTTTCTGGAGACTGCGTTGCTTTAGGTTAGACCAGGTTATGTTCGTTCCAATGAATGCAACATCAGGTTAGGTCAAATTAGAAAATACTAATAATTCAACTTAAATTCCATGTGTCGGGGGACAGGCAGCCAGGGAGTGTTTATTCACATTTGTCTCATATCGAGGTCCCCCCTCGATATGGGGACAAGTGGGTCGTGCCTGACTTAGGCAGGGAGAGGCGTGGCTTAATATCACGCTGACAAGTGGGTCATGCCTGACCCAGGCAGGGAGAGGCGTGGCTTATCATCATACCGACAAGTGGGTCAGTATAGTGGTCGTGTGTGGGAGGTAAAGGGTGGGACATTATCACTGTGGACACACCCACATGTCCTCAACCAAAATACCTCTGTACTCACCTAGTTGTGCTTGCGGGGGTTGAGCTTCGGCTCTTTGGTCCCGTCTCTCAACTGGTGTACAGGTTCCTGAGCCTACTGGACTCTAACTACACTTGAAACTGTGTATGGAGTCAGCCTCCACCACATCACTGCCTAATGCATTCCATTTAACTACTCTGACACTAAACGAAGTCTTTCTAATATCTCTATGGCTCATGTGGGCTTGCGTAGGCATGGGATCCCACAGTATGGGATACTATGGGCCCCATAGGCCTCTTTCCTAACAGAGAAGTGCCCGATACAGCACTGCTACAACCGACCGGTGAATATCAAAACACAGTATACCAAATACACTAGTTCAGTATACTACACAATACACAGTAAAGAACATAAATCACACAAGAGATGAACACTCGAGATAATTCCTAACATAAAAAATTGCACCGCCAAATTGTGTTACAAGATTAAAATCCACAAAAAGTTATATATTTTTAAAAATCGTTTCGGCCGTAGATGGGCAGAGATAACGTTAGATCTGAAGCAAGAACTACAGCCGCCATACATCCTGCCCTCCCTACACTACTACAGTGACCGTGCAGGTCATCTGAGGGCATCAACGTGAACAAGAAGGGCATTACTTCCTCATGGTGACGAGCGGCAGCGAGGGGATTCAAGGCAGAGGACACCAATTCAGAACATAACACAGGGCGCAGCCATGATGGAGAGACTGATTCCTGACGTCACTTCCCTTGACGACAACCAATCAGGAGACAGCACAATGGCGTCCTTAGCAACGCTTTGAAAATGAGAACTTTACCTGAATTTACCTGAGAGCCACTAACACTAGTGGCCTTAACGAGGACAGGAAGTCGGCGGCTTGTCGAAGGTCCCCCGTTTGCCTTGACGATCTTTTCCAGTTGTAATTTGAAAGTTAACAGGGTTTTGACATATACGGCTTCGACGGGTATGTAGTTCCATGGGTTTATGACCCTTTTTATTAGCAAAATTAGGTATATTTCATGCGGACACTATCTAAGCCTAAGACGCCACCTTCAAAAATCATAATTGCACTGAAAAAAAAGTTTAGCACAGCACGATACCAGAAAGGACTGATGGCCTCAGAATTAATAAAGAACAAATTTCAAAATAAAGTTTAAAATCACCCGTGACTCCTCTTGTGCACTCTATGTAGTCATGTACTGGCGTAGTGCTCTCTCCTGGTGATAACCACACCTCTTCTGCACTGGTTCTCCAGCATGGTCCTCCTTAAGTTTTAGCATCATGCAGGTCGGCGTTCAATCCCCGACCGTCCAAGTAATTGGGCACCATTCCTTACCCCGTCCCATCCCAAATCATTATCCTGACCCCTTCCCAGTGCTATATAGTCATAATGGCTTGGCGCTTTCCCCTGATAATTCCCTAGCAATTTCGTGGGCTAGGTAGTTGAATTTAGTGTGGAGCTCCCGTAGAGTTTCAAGTTGTTTCGGTATGGACAGGATCTCATCATTGTTCCTATGAATTTTTCTGCAGCTGAATTTTAAACTAGAGGATTACTTTGGCATTTATGAGTTGGGCGGGTATGTGACTCCATGGGTTTATTACGCTATTGGTGAAAAGCATTTCCTGTTTTCACCCATGTCTAGTTAGTTTAGTTCATTTATTATGCACCCCATACCCATCTTGTGGGCGGTAGTGGAAAGGGTTACAGAGGCACATAATGGGCTCAGGGACTGAACCCCACAATTCATTTAGCTAAGCAAGTTACAATCTTGATGAGCTAGTTACAAAATTCAATATAAGTCGTCACATCAACAATGGGTTCGAGATCGACCTCAAGTACAGGTTCTAAATTAAGCAACTGACATATGTGGAGAGCTAGTGTCACAATGGATATGTTTGTCCTGCACACCGCCCCCCATCCAGTGGGCAGCGGTGGATAGGTTACAATCACTTAGTTACTACCTACAATTAGCAAACTGGGGATATTTGGCTAAAATTTCTGGTAACAGATCATTTTGAATGAAATATTTACACATCGCTGGAACATTGGTTATAGAATTGTCTCTAAATTCACGTATCTTTTCGCACTCCATCACATAGTGACGGAGGGTGTGCGAATAATTTTGTTGACACAGTTAACATTTGGTCAGGTCTACATCAGCAGATAATGAGAATTCCCAGAGATACTTGTAACCGAGTCTAAGCCGAGCAGTAGTAACATCTAGAAGTCTGCTGATTTTATTGGATGAACCATAGATGTGTGGCTCCTCTTGCATGATAGTATGATGATAGATGGAATTACTGGTATTCCATGTCTAGGCAAGTAAAGTCAACAACACAACTTTAATATTAACACCAACCCTCCTAGCCTATACTGACAAGTCCCAACTACACTATCATTATTAATTTTCACTACACGTCACCATATTTTTGCATAGAAATCCAGTACACCAAATCGGTTTAATAGTAGCTGACATTCCTCGGCTTAGAGTACATGTCATCTACTTATATTACTACTTATAGTACTCGGCTATAAGAATTTCTGAGAATTTTCACTATCAGGTGATGTAGACCTGACCAAATGTAAACTGTGTAAATTAAATTATTCGCACATCCTCCGTTACTATGTGATGGAGTGCGTAAAGTTACGTGAATTTAGAGACGACTCTATTACAAGTGTTCTAGAAATGTGTAAATATTTCGTTTAAAATGCCTTACTACCGGAAATGTTAACCGCAGTTTGCTAACTGTACGTAGTAAATGTGGGTGACTTTAACCTTCCCAACACTCCTCACAGGATGAGGAGGGGGAAGATGGGGAAGTTATCTTGAGATGATTTCGGGGCTTTAGTGTCCCCGCGGCCCGGTCCTCGACCAGGCCTCCACCCCCAGGAAGCAGCCCGTGACAGCTGACTAACACCCAGGTACCTATTTTGCTGCTAGGTAACAGGGGCATAGGGTGAAAGAAACTCTGCCCATTGTTTCTCGCCGGCGCCTGGGATCGAACCCAGGACCACAGGATCACAAGTCCAGCGTGCTGTCCGCTCGGCCGACTGGCTCCCGGCCGCTCTGCCGACCGGGAGGGGGAGGATGGGGAGGGGGCGGTGTGCAGGATAAACATATCAATTATGACACTAACTCTTCACACATGTAAACTGCTTACCTTACACACTCTACTTGTGGTCCGTCTCGAACCCAGTAATTGTTGATAAAATAAATATAAATGAATAAATAATAAATTTTTATTCAGGTAAAGTACATACATACAAGGTAAGATACAAAGTTGATGGATTTATAGATAGAGCTAGTACATACAATGCCTAAAGCTACTATTATGCAAAGCATTTCGGGCATGAAAAACATTAAAGACTAAAACTTAATACTAATTGAGTTTAAAGTATAAAATGCGTTGAGAACAAATAAAAATAAAAATAAGAAAAGGGGGGGGACATGGCTGAAAAAGCATCACAAATACAATTAGGTCGACAAACAGCGTTGTTTAAAAAAACAGACATTGGTTGACAATAGAGGGGTAAGGTAGGTTACAGGGAATTTATTAGGTATAGCTTCGTTTTTATCTTAAACTGGTTGAGAGAGGTACAGTCTTTAACATGGTTGGGAAGGTCATTCCACAATCTGGGTCCCTTGATTTGTAGAGCATTTCTAGTTTGATTAAGTCGTACTCTAGGAATATCAAAACTGTGTTTGTTTCTGGTGTGGTGCTCATGGGTTCTGTTACAACCTTCAATGAAGCTTTTGAGGTCAGGATTGGCATTACAGTTCAGCGTTTTATATATGTATAATACACATGAGAAAATGTGCAGTGACTTAATATCTAGCATATTCAGAGATTTGAGTAGGGGTACCGAGTGATGTCTGGGTCCAGAGTTGGATATTGTCCTAATAGCAGCTTTGTGTTGAGTAATTAGAGGACTAAATGATTTTGGGTAGTAGAACCCCAAGCACAAATACCATAGTTGAGATATGGATAGATGAGGGAGTAATAGAGAGTCACCAGGGCAGGGCGTGGTACATAATATCTGATCTTAGAAAGAATGCCAACAGTTTTTGAAAGTTTTTTTGATATATTTAGAATGTGTCCCTGGAAATTCAGCTTGTGGTCAATGAGAACGCCAAGGAATTTGCCATCTAATTTGTTACAAATTTGGGTATTGTTTATTCTGAGATTTATTGGATTAGAGGATTTATTGCCAAACAGAATATAGAAAGTTTTGTCAATGATAAGGGTGAGTTTGTTGGCAGTTAGCCAAAGATGGACTTTATTTAGCTCAGTATTTACTGTGGCATTTATAGCCAATACTCTACAATATAGTTTGCAACTTGCTTATCAAGACAAACTTGCTTAGGTAAATGAATTTTGGGGTTCAGTCTCTGAGCCCATTATTGCCTTTGTAACCTTTTCAACTACCGCCAACAGGATGGGTATGGGGTGCCTAATATATGACCAAAAGTAACTAAATAAAGATATGAAGAACTTCTTCAAAAGGTCAGGCGTAACGCAAACAAGGAGCAACTGTTTCAACCTCAATAAACAACAATGTAGGACTGAGAACAAGAGATGCTTTTTCACCCACAGGGTTATAACCGCATGGAACCGCCTACCCGCCGAAGCCGTAAGTGACAAAACTCTGTTGATTTTTAAAATCCATCTGGAAAAAATCACCAGGGCAAATAGGGAGGGACCTCTGATAAGCCGCCGGCCTCCTATTTTCGACGAGGCCACTAGAGTGTAAGTGGCCCTCAGGTAAATTCAGATAAATTAAAGTTGTAAAAGTACTACAGATGTTGATGATTTAATGGTATACATTCTTGCAAACCCACCAGCACGCATAGGGTTTCAGGCAGGTCTTTAAGCTAACAAATAAATACAGTGTTAAATACATTGTTTCAAAATTTGAATTCACATAATTACTACCTGAGCATAAAGTGATAAAATTATACTGATGGAGCTGCTTTTCTAGATTGTATATATACAGTGCTGTGTTAGTCAGTAGCACAAGGTGGGATACTATGAAGATCAAATTTGGTACTTCATTGTTCTGCGTTTGAATAAAGTATAGATTGGACAATTTTGTATTCATTAGGGAGTGAGTTTCATCTACTCTTAGTTTGTAGTAAATCTACTAATTCAAGATGGGGATTGGCCCGCTCATATCTGACAATTGTTACCGAACTTCATCTTATTCTTTATACGATGTCGTTTAAAGTATTTAAAGACAAACATAAATTAATTTATCTTAAATAGTAATGTTTTTAAATTCAAGGGAGGTAGTCCTCGCGATGCTCTTTTATCACATCATGTGATACCATGACGTCACGCTGTATCAATGACGTCATATCTCTATCTAAATCATTTACTACATATTATTTAAATGCAAATATAGTTTAAAAACTCCTCATTTTGTTGTAGAAGCTTATTATAGCACACAAATTATTTAAAACAGGTCTGAGAAAGGTATTGGAGGTTTGTGTACATGGAGCGAGGAATCGAGCTCCTGTCACAAGACAGCTGGTCGGCGAGATCGAAGAGTAGCAGACGTCGTCTTCAGTGTTGCTCTATTACCGCCGATAAACTCCTTATACATCTCTCAAAATGGTAATGTATTTCAAACCCTCACAGCAAAGCCCATTTTGTACAGAGCTGGTGGCAAAAATGTTGATGAAAGGCAGGTGAATGAGTCGTGAGTTGAGTGCGCAAGCCCAGATCAGCCCCCCCCAAGGACTGGGCTGAGATGCTCAAAGAAAAGTTAATAACTTAATGAAAGATTAGCCAGCTATGGTAAGATTAAGTACCATAAGTACCATATTAAGTTAGGTTAAGTTAAGAACGTGTGGTGATGAACAATGATCTCGTTCAGGGTTGGTGTTCTACTCTGCATCAACAGAAATGTTTTGAGTACAATTTCATGTTGGCTTAACTAAATAATTATTTACATTTTTGCTCTAAATGGGGGTAAAGTTTATGTGGTCGAAAGTTGGTGTGATGGTGGCGTGTTGGTGCCAGTGTTATGATTTATGTATTCAGGCAGGTACTGTCTCTTCTGAATTATAATAGTGTAGTGAGGAAGATTTTTGATTTACATCACACAACTTCACCGCCACGACTGGATGTGGCAAGGGAGGCAAGGGACTCGGAAAGAGTGGCGCCGAGTGTCATCGTAAGGTGCTACGCGACAACGGGGGGGCTTGACGGCTGAGTGGACAGTGCTCGGGATTCATAATCCTAAGGTTCTTGGTTCGATCCCTAGCGGAAACAAATGGGCAGAGTTTCTTTCACCCCTGATGCTCCTGTTCAACTAGCAATAAATAGGTATCTGAGAGTTACAGCTACTGTGGGCTGCTTCCTGGGGAGGTGTAACAAATAGGAGGCCTGGTCGAGGACCGGGCCGCAGGGATGCTAAGCCCCGAAATCATCTCAAGATAATCTCAAGATAGCTGCTCTTCTAACCTGTTTATCTAACCCTTATCATTCATTTATTTAACCTCTTTATCTAACCCTCACCATTAAAGCTCATCGTACCCAAACATGCCTACTCTAGAAAAGCATAGCCAAGAGTTAAGAGCAGGTTTATCATTTAACCTGATTTCAGGAAAAATGAACACTGCCCAAGCTAACCGCTTAAAATTCAAAGTACTGTAAAATAAATTTATTCAATGTTAATTTAAACTTCAACTTTTCACAGGCATTTCTTACTTCCCATTTTTATTTAGAACAGGTAGCAGCAAGATATATTTTACATGTTTGGAGTGTCCCTTGTGCCTCAAGCTGGTGAAATTGGCCAGACCTTTACAAAATAATTATGCTTTTAATTAGTTCTCGAGCTACGTATTTCATTTTGGTACCAACGTGTTCGCAATAAAATTCTCTAGAAGAACATCAGTAAAAAAGTCACGAAACTTATAGGGATACCAGCACCAAATAAATAACTACGAAGATGACTCGCCGTGAGCGCCCAACAGCAACAAAATGTTTTTACTCTTGGGATGTTATCACCTCCACACTTGTCCTACAGCGTTAATTTTGGTATCAATGGACTCGCAATGAAATTCCCAACACGGTGATATGAATATAAGCGTAGAATAATGATTGCGGCCCACCCGCAAGAGAGTGGGAAGTGGTGAAATTGTTACCCGGTATCGGTGATGGGACGACACATGTGCGATACGGCGCTTTGAAAGTTTATACTTATTTCACTCTCATGACATTATTATTCTATGTACGGCATTCATTTTTGTGTCAATGTGTTCGCAATAGAATGTTCTATGAGCCCGTAGGTAAAAAAGATCAACAAAGCGTAAGATAGAATAGCGCCAAATATAAAACAACGCTGGAACATATCAGTGAGCGTCAAACACACACGAAATGTTTTTACTTTTGTTATGTTTGTCAAGTTTATACTTGTTGCATGTTACCACCCTTGAGACTAAACAAGGTTCTTCTCCCCGCAGTGCAATAAAAAGATAATAAATCGGCCTTGCCAACAACTGTCTAGGGGTAAATATAAATCACTGCATAAAATGGAGAACAATATATTTATGCTAAGGGGGACAATCTGAATAACACTTAAATGTATAAATAATAACCAGAAATATTCTTCAGCATGCAAATCATAGAATAACCTCCTTATTGAGACATGAACACTATCACTAAGACATGGATTAATTAGAGAGAAATATACAATATCATCTAACCAGATAATTAACATTTATATGGGCTAAAATAACAGTGACCAATGACTTAACTTAAAACATGCCTCCACACGACAGCAGCCGCCACGCTTCTGCCCACGCCTTGGACCGCAGGCCAAGCGTCTACCAAAAAATCAACTAACCGTCCACACAAAACATTGTGGAAAATCTAATAATAAAACGCAGCACTAATATTCAAAACATTGGTAAACTAAAGAGTAGTAAACACTGGTACAACATTCCATACAATAATACAGAAACCAAATATGGGCATAACTCAAATGGAAAACTATAAACACTCGATTGACAACAATGTTCCCACACTGGCCATATCCAAATATGGTCAACCGCCCACACGGAGAAACTACATGAGAAATTAACACCAAAAGCCTCACACAATATAATGTAACTCAGGCACACTACTGCATGCTATAATATATATATATAACATACAAAATCTTATATCATACAACTAGATGTTATATTAAAGAACAAGACAATAAAGTAATATGAGAATCAAGAGTAATGGCAGAATCCTAGTGAGATTCGTAACATTGCACACAGTTATTTTTGGTTGTACATTGATCGGAATAAAATTCCCTAAACAGACATATGCATATAATACATGATATGGGGGAAGCATTACCAGTATAAACGGCTAAAGTCACCCACCTGCAACCCGTTTGGGACATAATACCATTTGAGCGAAGTGGTCCACACCTTTCATGAACTTATTGTACCATGCAGCCTAGTGGTGAGAAAGAGAGCCTCATGGCTCGCAGTTTGAAACAAACCCAAAGTAAATCGGATAAAAATTGAATTTTATACAAATATTTTAAGAGGACATAAATTTATGTCCACCATGCGGGAGCGGGTAGGCGAAACAGGACGCCGGGAGGAGTCCTCATCCGCAGAAAGTGTTTATTATTACAATTGAACAAAAGTTACAATAGCTATAGTAGAAGTTTCTCAGTGGGGTCACATTTGTGTACTAAAATGAAATGCTGTAATTTGATTTTTGTAAAGTCTGATAATCTTGGCAGATTGATACTGGTTTGCACTTCAAATGTAAATTTTGCCAAGAATAATCTACATTACATAAAATTGTATAAAATATTCTGATTATCAATCTCAGCTTCGTTAATCAGAGTTTATAGTCGTGTCAATGTGTAATCACCTGATCTGAGAGGAGCGTATGCTTGTTTTCAGAATAGTACTGAATTGGGTACCCCTAAAATTGATATAAACTTTGTGTGCTGCTACAGAATATGTATATCTATACATATACATATTCTGATATACACAGAATATCTGCTACATAATAGCAGATATTCTGATGTACACAGTATATCTGCTACATATACACTATTAATTGTGTAATTTTAGTTTGAATCAAGTCATTTGTTCTATGCTTCGTTGTGGGTCTTTTTCAACATTACCAATGGATATGGTTTACCATTTTGCTATGGGTTGTTATATTGGCCAGATTCTAGACAATTGGTTTAGAGGTTTTATGCACGAGTTATATCTGAGAGTTTTAGCTGTCTTAAGCTAAGTCAAGCCTGGGTGTAATGGGCAAAGACTATGAAGTTTGTAACTAGTTAAAAGTTAAACCAAAAGTTGTTTTATTAAAAATTTTTTTGCTGTTTAATAGTGGTTTTGAAGGATTGTTCACAACCCATCCTCAAAACCAAATACTGTACTGTATTGCACACACAAATCACAAAAGGCAGCATCTGGGATGCTGTTGGACGCAGGTTCGAATCCTTGTCATGGCCTTTGTGGATTTGTTCAACTGTACTGTACAGAGGAACCTCAATACTCGAACGGCTCCAAACTTGAACAATTTGGCACTCAATTATTTTGTTTGTACTCAATAGTCAACTATTTGCTTGTCACTCAGACGTATACATAACAATACAGGTACAGACGAGTCGGTTTTCCAGTAGCGTCATTCAGTTCACAACACTAAATTTATCTAACTTTTTCTTATACAGTGGTACCTCAGGTTACGAATTTAATCTGTTCCCAGAGACGGCTCGTAAGCTGAATATTTGTAAATGAAAGTGAATTTCCCCATCAGAAATAATGTAAATTGAATTAATCCATTCCAGACTCCCCAAAAAATTAACTTCAAAGTAAATTTTCTGGGGGGAGCCCCGTCGGCTTCCCGGAGCTATCCCAGGCTGATATGCTAATGTCAGACTTTGGCATCAGTCATGTGTATGGAGTTCTTAGGCCTACCGGGGACCACGGCCAGAACCGGGCCCCCTCAGAGAGGCAAGGGGAGCAATGGCCTATAGAAGCCCCCGTGTAGTTGGAAGCATTCTATGTCTGCCATCGACCGGAACAGGCACCCAGAAAGGTAAGCGCCCCAAAACAAACCCCTATTCTGGTTAAAATTGCTACCTAAAACCGAACTAGTGGATAGAACTCCCCAACCGAAAACAAGCAAACTAGTGTGACGTCACACACTGCCGCGCCGCTGCCTGCGCAGCTCCCCCCTCCCCGGGAGGGGGAAGGGGGAGCCCCAAACCCCCCGCGCCGGCTACCCACACCTCAGTTCTTGAGGCTGATGCTATAGGCGATGGTCGTGTGCTCTGGCTCCGGTGTCGCTACTGCACTGTGCTTTGAGTGTGGTGTTAGTTTTGTGGGTGCGAGAGCCAAGAGTTATCTTCAGTACTCGGGCTGCATGCGCCTAGGGCTGCCTTCCCTAGGTGCCCTGTAAGTACTGCCCTTGGGGCTTGGGGCCACCTTCCACAGGCTCCTCGGGGTCTGCCTCTGCTGGTCCGTTTTACCTTTCGGTTTTTCGGCCGCCTGTTGGGCTCTTGGGTGTTCTGTTCTCCCTTGTTACCGGCAGGTAAGAGGCAGTTTGCACTGGTAGGGGCGCAGGGTGCTGCTCAGCTT